TGTGCTGTGCTTGTCTGGCCCGGCAAAGCGCCCGGGGGCCGCGCACCCTCGTCGAAACCGCGGCGCACCTCGCGGACCCCAGACCGGCCCCCTCACGTCTATCCGCACGAGCGGGTCTAGGCCTCCTAGATGGCGTCGGAGTAGATGGGGTCGGAGGATCGCGCCGCATCGCCGATGCATCAACGATGCGGCTCGATGCGCAGCCAGATTCTCTCCACGCCGACGTCGCCGACACATCGCCGACGTCGACGCCTCATCGCCGGTGCGTCGGCGATGCATCGCCGATGCATCGCCGATGTATCGCCGATGTATCGGCGATGCGGCGCGGTCCTCCGACCCCATCTACTCCGACCCCATCCAGGAGGCCTCTAGCGGGGGTCACGGCCAGAGATGGAGTGACACCGTTCAGTCTGCGAGCGTTTTCGTATCTGGCGTTTCGACATTAGGCGGAAGGGAGGGGGGAGACCGCTGCGTAACGCGACGGTTTGCAACAGTGCGTCCTATGGGGGAGACCCCCCCCTGCCTGAAGCAGGCGCCAGAAACAGCCAAGATCCACTCCACGGGGGGGGGATGGGGGGGGCGAGGGCCCGCGCCGATCGGCAAAACAATGCATAAGAAAACCAGTACTTCACACCATCCCATGTTTGATTGGAGCCCCGTCTACTTAACCTGCTTACTCCAGAGTCAGATGCGTGGCTGACGTAATGTTCGAAGGCATTGCCGAATTAGACTTCTAGCCATTCTAAGGCATGTGTTGTCGGGAGGTTGCATCACACGCGCATGAAAACTTTAGTTCCCGTTGTCGCATAGACCCCAGGAGTTGGACCATACAACCGGGGACCCATTCGTACAAGGCTTCGGGGCGATGCCAGTGTGACCTCATCAGCTTCAACGAATTGGTCTGACCTCAAGTATAGGGAGGAGGGGAAGGAGGAGGAGGAGGAGGAGGAGGAGGAGGAGGAAGAGAGGAGGGGGGGAGGAAGGAAGGGAGGGAGGGAGAGAGGGAGGGAGGGAGGGAGGGAGGAGGAGGAGGAGGACGAGGACGAGAACGAGGATCGAGGGAGGCCAGGAACTTGTCCACGCACCGCTGGACACCAACCAGATCTCGGCTTCCCAGGCTGATTCGCTGCAGAGGAGGCAGGAGTCAGTGCAGCCACGAAGTTGCGAAATACTCTGACAGGGTCACGTTCATCGTGCTTGCTTTTTCGGTTGTCTTCCCCCGTCACGTCAGACCCATCATCATCACACCTTCAACATGGCTTCACTATCGCAATTCGGCCACCATCGGTGAAAAGGTTGGTCAACTAGAGCCTACCCGCGTCCTCATCCATATGATCCGTTCTGCCCGAATCAATGTGTTGTTCATCTTCGTACCCTGGGCTGGGCTGCTTTCGATTTTCATGCCAGAGCCAACGAGGCAAAACGGTGCGTCAGAGTTGGTGTATTCCGCGGCGTGGAGTTCGTCTGGTGGACAGCTTGGCCAGCCGAGACATGAATTCATTCGAGCGTTCCCCACCCGAGAGCGCGAGGCGGGAAACCCGGGCAGCATTGGGACCATGGGGCTTGACGGCCGCAGTACGCAGGGTGTGCGAGGCGGGTCGGGAGTTCTCTTCTTCAAACCCAGCAGCCCGAATTTGTCGCGTCGGGGACAACTACGTCGCTGGTGCCTTAGAGTTGTCTGAACCGTGAAGTCTCCATGTGTCCATATTATGTTTCTCCCGAACGTGTTGCCTTCGGCTAAGGCCATAACGCAAATGCGCCGAATGGGACGCTTGCGCAGGAGGACGTGCGGCAGAGGATTTGGCACGTCGCTCTTGCGTGGGACCAAACGCGTGTTTGCCGAGTCACTAGCTCAGTTTGTGTGTGTGTGCGCAGTCAACCCGCATAGTAATAATGGGCAACCTTCCCAAGGGTACCCTTGCATCCTTGCCCCTTCGGCCCATCCTTAATTATTTTCGCGGGCCATACTCGTTCGAAAAACGTCAACGTGGTCCTCCAAGTTCTTTGCATCCTTACCGCGTATCCTTATCATACGGGTTGGCTGCGCAGTGGAGACCCATGCCAAGAAACACTCTGCTTGCCTCCAGGGTGCCCTGGGTTTCTCAGTTGTTACTGGGTCTGCTATGGAGAGCGTGACGCTCCCACCAAAAATCAGTGGACGTCCTGGGGTCTCAGGGTTGGGCTTCTTGTGGAGGGCTTCTTGCAGTCGAGCTCCTGCCGTGTACGGGTTGACTGCATGTTATGCGCGCTTCTGTACGCACTGGCCTCTCGAGAAGCCTAGGGGAGGAGCCCGAACGAGTCTCGGGCCCACGGCTGGGCAGACACTGGAGCAGGGGAGCCCGAGGGACAGCAGCTACCGGTGCCCGCCCTCGCCGCCCCACGCTTTTTCGAACCTGCAGGGCCGCCCAGGAAGAATAGAGACTGCTCGCACAGCGCTCCGGATCGCTGCGTTGAATTGGGGCATGCCCCGCTACAGGTGGAATAGCCAAGAACAGACCAGAAATGCTATGGTTCCGATTTCTCGTGTCCTCAGAATCATGCAGCAGGTTTTCGCGTTATTGCTTCTCCAACCCAATAAAAACCGTAGGAGGACATGCCCGACCTGACGCTACAATCCGACGCTCCGAAGAATGAGAGCGGGCGGTGTTTTTCTGTTTTCGGCCTCCAGGGGCCCTCGCAGGGCCTCGGGACCGTCAAACAACGACTCGGGACGGAAACCTGGTCCTGCTCTTCTTCCTCCTCCATCGTCCTCCCCCTGCTCCTCCTCCCAGCTTGGTCCGCTTCCTTGGTCGAGCCCTTCCCCTACCCTTGTCGTTCTCCGCCTCCATCAAAACTCTACCCGCAAACCTGTCCAGGGGTGCGCCTGACCAGAAGATCAAGAAGGACCGAGCCGTCGCTACGAGCAGCCACCAGGAGGCCCAAGGAAGACACCGCGAGAAGCCACCGGGAGAAAACGCATCCTAAAACCACCGTCCTCGATCCGCAAACCTCCCTCGACGACGAAGCTGGGGAGGTGGTCCAGACCTCCGAGGCCCACGCACCGAAGACATTGGAGCAGCCGGACGTCCGTGGAGCGTTCAGGAGGTGGAGGAGGGGGAGGAGGAGGAGGAGGAGGAGGAGGAGGAGGAGGTGGAGGGGGAGGGGGAGGAGGAGGAGGAGGAGGAGGAGGAGGAGGAGGAGGAGGAGGAGGAGGAGGAGGAGGAGGAGGAGGAAGAGGAGGAGGAGGAGGAAGGAGGAGGAGGACGAGGAGACGAGACATTGGAGTGCTCTGCGCTGGCTCTGGCGGCCGAGGCACGGTCCAGACCCGCCGGCTCTCTCCGAGACCCCAGGGTGCGGTCGACTTCGATTCGTGGGTCGACCCTGCCGAATCCAAGGCGCCCTTTAAGTCGGGCCTGTCCCCCTGCATGGGGATGTTCGGCGAAAAGTAAAACATACCCCAAAAATACCCCAAAAAGGTCAAACAACTATTCAAAAAATAGTCCCCAGAGGATTTTCGCATTATTTTTATATTAATTCTAGAGTATTTTTTATTGTTCGTCGAAACCCCCCTGTAGGGGAGCGCGCCCGACTCAAATGTACCCTTTTGTCCTATTGCTCGCGATCCAGGACTTCTTTTTGGCAGCGTTGCCCTCGTAGAGGCCTCGTGTCCGCTCGCGTGTCCTCTCCGATCAAGTTCGACTAGGCACGCTGGTCGTTGAAAAGAGGTGTTTCTGGATTTCCAAGTCTTGATATATTTCTGGCGCCCTCCTACTTCAATTATATATATATGTGTATATATGTATATGTATATGTGTGTGTTTGCTATGTGTTATTATCTGGGACGGCCTGGACCCAATCTGTTTTGTCCGCCTCCCGGCTTCATGTTCGTACCAGTTGTGCCGACCGATTTGTATCTCATCCTGGCGTTTTTTTTTTCTTCCTGCGCACGTCTTGTCCCTTGATCTCCGGTCGGTCCGCACCCCCCCCAAGGCTTAGAGGCGGGGGGGGGGGAGGCCGCGAGTCGAGCAGTGGCGAAGCATCCCGGCTTGCCCACAGGCTCACCACATGATGTTTTGAGTACCTTTTGTGTTTTGCGAGAAGTTCTAGGCCGATTTTCTCCACGACGACGTCGCCGATGCGTCGTCGACGTCGCCGATGCATCGCCGACGCGGCGCTATCCTCCGACCCCATTTTTGTTTCCGACCCCATCTAGGAGGCCTCTGATTTTGTGGTCTGCCCGAAATGTTCCTAGAACATGTCTGGTTGAGAGTGTCTTGTTTTATTACTTCGGGTTCTGTTCTACGAGCCTTGTTTCAGTTCTTGGAGCGCTTCTGGGTTCTGAGAACATGCCGTGGTAGGCCTATAGGCTTGTTGGGGCGGTCGGTCCCTGCTCAAGTCGGGGCTCAAGAGACGGGGGTCAATGCAAACGGGGGTCAGTCAGAGCGCTGGATCTTGCAGGATCCTGCAGGGCCGGATGCGCATTGACCCGGGCTCAGGTGCAGGATCCTGCAGGATCCTGCAGGATCTTGCAGGATCCTGCAACGCCTGACTGACCCCGGGTCTGGATTGACCCGGTCAGTCAGGCGGAGCAGCGACAGCCGTGCGGGTCGAGGGCGGAGGCGGCGCGGCCGCTCTGGGGGGCCGATCTCGAGGGTCGCGTCCCCTCCTCGTCGTCCTTCTGCTCCTTTGCCTCCCCCTCCACCTCCTTCTCCTCCCCCGCCTGGTCCCCATGTTTCCCCTCCCTCCCCCTCCTGACATTTGGACGCCTGAAGTTGGTATGGAAAACATTGTACAATGCCAAACAACAAATGTTGTCCACATCCGACGGCGGCCGCTGTTGGGCAGGTGGCTTCTTGTCTTCAAAGAGCAACGCCTGCGGCGGCGCGGACAGCGAGCCCTGCTCAAAATGAACAGGAACTGCTGTTGGGCATCGTACCCATTGTTTCCGTACCCATGTCGATCGTCCCGATGACAGTCGGGCCAGCAGCGGCGGTAGCAGCCCCCGCTTTTGCCCGGAGGAGCCCGAGCAGGCGTCGCAGCCGCAGCCCCCGGCGGCGCCGCAGCGACAGCCGCTGAGCCGCTGAGCCGCGACCCCCGGCGGCCGGAGGCAGACGGCACGCGCCCTCGGAGGAGGTCCCCATGGGCCAGGTCCCCCAAAAGGAAACAGGAGGAGGAGGAGGAGGAGGAGGAGGAGGAGGAGGAGGAGGAGCAGCAGGATGAGGAAGAGGAGGAGGGGGAGGAGGAGGAGCAGAGAGAGCAGCAGCAGAGCGGAGCAGGAGGAGGAGGAGGGGAGGGAGGAGGGGGGAGGAGGAGGGAGGGAGGAGGAGGAGGAGGAGGAGAGGAGGAGGAGGAGAGGAGATGAGGAGAGGAGGAGGAGGAGGGATGAGGAGGGAGGAGGAGGAGGAGGAGGAGGAGGGAGGAGGAGGAGGGAGGAGGAGGAGGAGGAGGAGGAGGAGGAGGAGGAGGAGGAGGAGGGAGGAGGTGGAGGAGGATGCAGATCGCAGTAGGGCAGGACCTAAACGCTGTTCTGCTGGACTTCTGCTGTGCCTTGTCTTTCGCTGTGACAGGGACGTTTACAGGAAAACAGGCAGAGCAAAACGAGCAACACAACGGAAACTATACGAGAATCAGCGTTTAGATCAAGCCCTGGATCGCAGGCCTTTGAGGTCAGTGCCAACACCAACATCGGCAGCGCGCCTCCAGCGAGGGAAGATGATCTCGATCTCCGAAGAAGAAGAGACGGCATCAACATAAACTTTCGGCGCTCCGCGCGGATTTCTTGGATCCGCGCTGGGCCCCCCGGGCGGCGCCTCCAGCGCCGCCCCTGCGCCGCCCCTGGCGCGCTCTGCGCGCCAGGGAGGGGGTCCTACGCAGATCCAAGAAGCGCCAAAACAATTATGTTTATGTGTTGTGTCTTTCTTCGTCTAGATCATGTTGGTACTAGGCCTCTCAGCTTGGGTGGGAGCAGATGTGGTCAGAGGGTCGCGCCGCATCGCCGACGCATCGCCGATGCGGGTCGATGTGGAGCCCGAGTTGCTTCACGTCGAGGTCCATGTACCGCCGACGTCCAGAATGCATCGCTGGTGCATCGCCGATGCATCGTCGATTTATCGTCGATGTATCGGTGATGCGGCGCGATCCTGCGACCCTATCTACTCCGACCCCATCTAGGAGGCCTCTAGGATGATCCCGATCTCAGGGATGGTGGTAATGTTCAGGCTTCTCATGTGGCCGAAATATTTGTCCACCAGCACCAGAAACTGGGATCGTCTCCCCCCAGTGGAGGCAATCCTCTGGATTGGTGCCGGTGCCGATTTCCAAGCATCCAAGGAAAGCGTGGGCGAGAGACATACAGTCAAAACCGATGGGAAGGATGCACGCTAAGGATGCAAGCCCCTTGGACGTTCACGTCGAACTTATTCAAGTAGTTAGGGGATCGACTACAGAATTGATGTACCCCAAAATTTGTTTTCCGCGTTGAATCTACGACGAATGCGCAGATTTGGCGTAAAACTGCTGAGGATTCTAAGCATTTCTCCCGTAGATTTGGCGGGAACATTAATACTGGGGTGAATCAATTCTGTAGTCGAGCCCCTACGAGCTATTCGAGCGGGGTTGGCCATTGAAAGTGGGCAAGGATGCAAGGGTACCCTTCAGAAGGTTGCCCATCTTTGCAATCGTTCTCGACTGTACGGCAGGTTCGCGTCTCCGCCGTTGGCGTTAAACGTAGAACGCCGCCGGCGACCCAGAATCGGCCACTCGTTGAGCGATGCTACGTCTCGGGAACGAGGAACCAACGCTGGGGTCGACACGAGACGAACCTGCCGTGTCCGTACCCGCGCCCTCGCGGGTGCGGGGCGTTCTTGCGCGGATGCCCCGCGCGGAACGTATCCATGCGACCGGAGCCTTATTTTTTGTGGATTCAGGCAACTTTACTTGCATGGCGTTCGCCCCCCTCCCCCCCCCCCCTCGCCCCTCTTCAAGCGAATACTCGCGTGCAAGTGCCTCCTTTCGACTTGCGTGATTTCCGCGCTCCCCCCCCCCCCCCCCCGGCTTGCTTCATGCTCAGGCCCCCCCCCCCCCCCGTCCATGCAAGTAAACTCGCCAGAGTCTAAAAAAAACAGGCTCCCGCGTATCCGCGGGATCGCGCCCCGGAGTCCAGACCGCGAGGGCGCCCCTCGCTGGAGGAGGCGCCGGTGTCGCTGCTCCCTCGTGCTCGAGCGGCCGGCCTCCCGGGAGGCCCCCGTCGCCTCGAGATGTCTGGCCGCGAGGCACCCCGGGAGAGGTCCACCAGTCCACCAGCCACGTCCTCCTTCTCCTCCTCCTCCTCCTCCTCCTCCTCGTCCTCCTCCTCCTCCTCCTCGTCCCCGTCCTCCTCCTCCTCCTCCTCCTCCTCCTCCTCATCATCATCATCCGCCATCTCGTCCTCCGCCGCGCAGAGGAGGGCAGGGGGAGTGGGGGGACGGCTCCTTCGCAGGAGGCTGCTTCTTTGAGGACGCGGGCCTCATCTACAGATGGAGTCGACTAGACGTCAGAGTGACCTCTCGCCGGAGCGACCTTTGGTGCGGGCCCAATAGGGTCCCCCGATCGCCGAACGCGGGGCGGCAGTGGCGTCTCTCGCGCTCGTGTTTGGACCCCCTCGCGGCCCCCAAGAAAGCAGCGCACCAGAGGTCACTCTTACCCAGGGTCACTCTTGCGTGTGGTCGGTGTAAGGCCAGCCTCCTTCAAAGAGCAGCCTCCTTCGAAGAATCCTTCCTCCCTCTCCCATACAATCAACCATGATAGTAAGGATGGGCGTCCAAGGCCCTTGCATCCTTATCGCGCATCCTTCCTACACTGGTTGACTATACCCCCCCCTGCGCGCCGCCAGGTCTGGGGAGCAGCGGTGTCGGTGTCCTGGGTCTCCCTGATGGCGAGCGCGACGGCCTCTCCAGCGAGCGCAGGGTAGGCTTAAGTCGGGCGTGTCCCTCTACATGAGGAATATTCAAGAACTGTAAAACACTAGTACGGGGATGAATTGTCCGATTATCTTTGATTATTTGGTGAGGATTGTTTGGCTATATCTGTCTTTCCCTCCACGCTCCGCCTGTGGGAGGGCATGCCCGACCTCATGACAGCGGGCGCGACGGCCGCTCCGGCGAGCGCAGGGTAGACGATGAGGGTGCACTTTGATTATTCGGCGGGAAAGGTCTTTGCCGGGGTCGGCCAAAGTCGGCGGCGAGCCCAGGGGGGAAGCAGGAAGGAGGAGGAGGAGGAGGAGGAGGAGGAGGAGGAGGAGGAGGAGAGGAGAGGAGGAGGAGGAGGGGTGGTGGGCCTTCCGAGAAGGGTCCGCGGGAGGCCTCGGGCCGTCCGAGGGGCTGCTTGAGCCTGCCCCGAAGATGCGGCAGCCTTCTCGGAAGCTGGAGGGCTTCTGCAAAGCCCCGCCGCCTTCTCCTCCTCCCCCCTCCTCCTCCTCTCCTCCTCCTCCTCCTCCTCCTCCTCCTCCTCCTCCTCCTCCTCCTCCTCCTTCCTCCTCCTCCTCCTCCTCCTCCTCCTCCTCCTCCTCCTCCTCCTCCCTCCTCCTCCTCCCTCCTCCTCGCCGCCGAGGAAAGGACTTTGGGGGGGGGGGGGGGCAGAGGCGCGCCTGGCCGAGGTCTCTCCCGGTCCTCGCTCCGCTTGAAAGACCTTGGGGCCTCTCGGGCCTCGTGAAGGGTGCTCTTGAGGCCAAGGTGGGTGGTGGCCTCCTCGAAAAGTCTGGGGACGCCCTGGGTCAGGGCCAGGTAGCGGAGGGACAGCGACCGGGCGGCGAGTCTTTGGGCTTCAAGACCAGGTCTTTGCATGGCAGGGGGTCTGCGGGGAATTTGTCCCTCCCCTCTGTCTCCCTGCCTCTCCTTCGGCGGCGTTCCTGCTTCTCCCCCGTTCACCTCCCTTCCTCCTCCCCCGCCCCGCCCCACTTCTCGTGTGGCCACCTCGCTCTTTGTTCACAGCTCTGTGCTTCAAGCTGTCCTTTCGCTTTCGCTCGGCGTAGCACTTGTGGAGGTGCATCACAAGCACCCGTCAGCACGCATGCGCCGGATTTCAGATTCCCTGCGTGATTTGATGCGGGCGGCTGCTGTGAAGCTACTTAGCGCCTTCGGTGGGTGGATTGTGGCTCGGCAGTACGGCTCGGGTGGGTCCTGTCTCACTGCTCGCCCAGCCGTTGGTTCCCAGCGGCATCAGGAGGTAGTACTCGTATACTCGGGTCGGCCTGCATTCTCCACGGTAGAGGTCCCTGCGCAGTGACAGTGATTCCTGTACGCACAAGTGTGTTCCAGAGTGCGTTATGCCATTCAACTACTTTGTCAACTACCGTCGCAGACAGTGTTGGGGCGATTTGCTTATTCTCTCATCTCGCCGTTCATGAAGCCATTCTTCACATTAATGGGCGTTCCCGTCATTGGCTTGTGTCTCAATTTATTTGGGCCAGTTGTATGGAGCTCCAGGAGAGTGTCGCCTTGGTCGAAGAATCTGAAATATCGGTGGTAACGGTGAACGCCAAGGGTGCAGGTCGGGTCGTGAAGTATGTCTACGTGGCGCATGGCTTCTGTTCTGAGCAGGGGGAGCACCGAATGCCATTGGCATCGCCACTGGTTTCTACTCCTACTCCTGCCCCCTCCCTCCCTCACCTCCCTGTCCCTCCCCTCCCCTCAACTCCCCAGGCCTCCTAAGCCTCGGGCCCCTGAACTTGTTGATCCTTTCCTTATGTCATGTTGTTAATGATGGGTAGGCTCCTACGGCTTCCCGATCTCAGCCGTGCTTAAAAGGCTTTTGATCGTTCTGTATGTTTTAGTGTTGCGGTCGACCAAAACAGAAAGCAACAACGGGAACCCAAAGTATAAGAAACACATCACCCGCTTGGCCCGAAACGAGCGGACAACGACAACCTATAACAGAAAACAAACAACACAGACGGCAACCCAACACAGAACACAGTTCGCAGAAACGGAGCACAGCAGAACAGTTGCCGCGCAAAACAAGCAACAGTGATAGTTTTTGTATTCAGCTTCTTGCCGATCGGCGCGGGCCCTCGCACCCCCCCGCTCCCCCTCCCCTCCATGGAGTGGAT